GTTTTGGGATATTTGTAGTCGTTTATTTCTTCTTGCCGAGATTCTCGGCGGTGATCGCCTCCTCGGCTGTATTATGTTTACATGCGTAGCGCATTACCTGCCTGCCTGCCTACCATTGTCAGGTATCGCGTGTCAGTGACACGCATTACCTGACAATGGTACTCATGCGTATTGATCCCTATATATGACGGCTGCTCATATGCAGGCAGGTAATACGCTACGCATGTAAACATAATACAGCCGAGGAGGCGATCACCGCCGAGAATCTCGGCAAGATGTCAGCTACTTTAGGATAATTGTTATTTATGATTAGTGCTTGGCTAGACACGTTCTGTAATTGTTGGATATCCGATTTCCGCGATGGAAAACTCGTAGGCCATGAGTTCAAATTTCTTCAGCCTAACCTCGGAAGCGCTCCGTGCCATGTACTACACGCTGGTGTAATCGTAAAGGCAGTGTAAGCATTTGGCAAGCCACGCATGCACACAGACACGCACGCATCCAGATTCAGAAGCACGCGCACGTCAACATACACGCGCGCACACACGGGCACGCACACAGACACGCACACACACACACACACACACACACACACAGCACACACACCACAGCACACAACACACAACACATACATAACCGGAGAGAGAGAGAGAGAGAGAGAGAGAGAGTAGAGAGAGAAGAGAGAAGAGCGGATAACGGCTGAAACACTGAATAGTAAGCGCGTGTCTTGAGAATTTATACTAGATGTACCCTTGTTAATGAACCAACGCGGCGCGTAGGATGATGATTACGTTTTTAATGTTGCCAGGTACACATGGTGGATATCGCTAACTTGGGAGGAATATCGGCTGCATTTGAATGGGTGCTGGAGCAGGCACACTGATCTGATTGACTATATTCTCAACCTCGTTTTTCATTCGAGGAAGACGGCGGGATTCTCGCAATTTACAGAACAAATTTTACGAATTATATATGAAATAACTACCGTTATAATTTATCGTTTACAAAATTAAAATTATGTCAAGGTCGCAGTTCGTACACATTTTCATCACTTTGCTCCCACAATACTGGACAGAACAAAATCTTGTGATCTTAGATTTTCTGAGATGGTTTACATTTATTGATTTGTTCTTAAATAGTTCATGGGCCAGAACCCCCAAACTGGCCATTTGGTACCAAAATTTAGACCAAATTCTAACATAGATTTTTAAAAACCTTATTCCCTCTAGTTTATTATGGTATATGATAACCTCGCCAAATTAGTAGCTTTATGATTGTTAGATGATCAAGTGATGTCACTCAGTTTCACTGAATGGCCAAATATTGTACAAAGATCACTCAGAATTGTCGAATTGAAGCCTTAAAAGCCATATCCTTACAGGTGTCTAGCGGTTAATAACTCCCAACAGGCTTACAGAGTAAATTTGGAGATATCCTTAAATATAGGTATGATTCTGAAATGGTTCTTCTAATAATTACTAATTAGGCACAACTCTATTTCACTGAGGCAGCTGGAAATCACTGTATGAAGGACTAGGCTTAATGGCTATAGGCTGTAGGGATAGGATTTCGCCGAATGGCGCCTAATGTGCAGAAGTACGACAAAAGCGTGCACACCTCCGCGGTGATTCGATCAACATCATTACATCTAGGTGCGCCGCGCACAGCATTTACGTGTAATGTTTCTAAGCGAAACATTTCAGTACAGACTGCAAGAAGGTCACGGAAAGGTTTGTGCATTACATAACATTTGAGTAATGCTCTTAAGACCTCTTGTCAGCAAAGCCTAGAGAATTTCATTGCTTTTAGTGAGTGGTTACGCTACAAAAATTAATCGTTAATATAGTAGCCTTTATAGTCACATAACACGGTTATGATATTCAAGTTAATACACGTGATAATACTTGTATGTGTTTATGTAGCGGTATTTGTTGGTTTAAATGCTGCACAAGCATTTTTCCCTATTTTTCACGAGCTAGTTTATTGTGTAAATAAAAGCCACGGTAAAAAGGACGCATGAGTTGTACGGGTCGGCCATCGCAATCATATAAGCGACGTCGAGCGACGATCCAGTGTGTATAAAATCTAGTAAACACACGTTTTTTATAATATATTGTTTCTGCAGCGTCATCAGACTGGAGGTTTTTATTCTGATACCGGACGTGTTGACGGCGGTACCTGCCTGGTCAATGGTCAAGATTAAAAGAAGAATGATAAAGAAGACAATGTCACGCTGAATTACGTTAATTGCCTAAGATAAAATATAGGTCTAATTTATTACCGCATTCAGTGCTAATTACGAATATGCACATATTATTGATCACTAATTAATCAATGACAATAATTAAAAGAGCACGCGCAATCGCCCTCCGTCACCTGCGCACAAGCTCGTGTCCTTCTTATTGCTGATGTCCTATGCGTCATAAATTGCTATCCCATTGCGTTAACTTCCGTTCGCGCAGGTGTAACGCTGCAGCTAGCATCCCGATGCAATTTCCAGATAATACGTGCGCTAGTCGTGCTTCACAGTAGTGTCGCGATCACACCTTGCTATCGGCTCGTATACGCCGCCATGAGAGTATATACACGTTTCTGTAGTGATAAATATTTTGATATAATACATTGTCTTTACAGCGTCACCAGATTAGAGGTTTTTATTTTTATACCGGACGTGTTGACCATTAACCGGCGGTACCTAATACTGCCTGGCCAACGGTCAAGATTAATAAAAAAAGATTTTAACATCACGACAAATTACGTAATTAATTTCTTATTGGCCCATTGCCTAAGATATATTTCTAATTCATTACCACCTTCAGTGCTAATTACGGATATGCACATATATATTTCTGAAAGCTAATCGATGACAATAACAGAGCACGCGCAATCGCGCTCCGTCACCTGCGCACAAGCTCGTGACCTCCTTATTGATTATGGATATCCCTCTCTGGGTGCTCTCAGTAATCCTAACATAATCTCCACGATGCTAATATAAGACATCTAGAAGCTCGATAGTTTAATTCCCATTACTGTCGCGGAGATAGTCCAGGTACGTGTCATAAAGTTTGATGAAGTCTGAGAAAGAAGAGCTCGTCATGACTTCCTGAAATTCTCTCTGGGATAGATCATCGTATAGAGACATCAGTCTCTCAAATAAATCTTCAACAAAAGCTTTCCTGTCTGCATGGAGTCGTTCAATCCACGACTGAAATCCTGCCCAGGCCAGTCTCTGGAGCGCATCGTACATCAGTTTATGGAATCTGACGGCGCGGTTGTATCTGCGACTATCCAGAACTCCAGATACCGATCGATCCCTCAACAATCACCCCAGACTCTATGCAGATCAATATTACATCATTTCTCTTAGTCAGCAAGTTTTTGAATTTTCACGTTATTCCTATAACAATTTTGGCCGTGACCAACTCTGATTTATAACAGTCTCTTTGTTTATCAAGAACATACCTGCAAAGTTTCATTTGGAGCCTCGTTTCCATGCTGAAGCAAAATTTTGCGAAAATTAAAATTAAAAAATCTACAAGAAAGCTACTACTTCGGAAAGGTTATCATACAAATTTCAAAACACCTTGGGCTAGAGTACCATCTGACAGCACTAACAATTTGTCTTTCAATTTGGTACCGAAAACAAGCCGTCTGGCTCATGGACTAAAAGGCGCATTGAGTAACCACCCCTGGGTCTCGTTTCACCGTGGCGCCGCAATCCTCAAATGCGTGCGACAGATTAAGGCGAGACAGATTTAGGCCAACAACATTTATCAATACATGTTCGTTACCATGACGACCATATATTGAAGTTGTCCATTCAGTAGTCTAAAGAAGTTACACGTATCTATGCTAGACGCGCAGTGTGATATATCGAACGCATAATAAAATATAGCAGCCTCGTAATAACCTAGCTATTACTTATCACGGAGTCTCAGCATGTACTTTGAATGACTAAGTAAAAACACACGGACACCCGTGTAGATGAAAACAAATGCAGAAAAAAATAGAATGTAGGTGTAAAATTTTAATCAACAATATTTCGAGAGTATCTCTATGCATCAGGCTATACAATATACAAATGTATTGTGTATTATGGGATACTTGACTCTACATTGCACATCCATTGATCGAAGCGGGGGAATGGTCTAGTCTATTCTTTTGTTTATAATTACTAATTAGGCACAACTCTATTTCACGGAGGCAGCTGGAAATCACTGTATGAAGGACTATGCTTAATGACTATAGGCTGTAGGGATAGGATTTCGCCGAATGGCGCCGAATGTGCAGAAGTACGACAAAAGCGTGCACACCTCCGCGGTGATTCAATCAACATCATTACATCTAGGTGCGCCGTGCGCAGCATTTACGTGTAATTTTTCTAAGCGAAACATTTCAGTACAGACTGCAAGGAGGTCACGAAAAGGTTTGTGCATTACGTAACATTTGAGTAATGCTCTTAAGATCTCTTGTCAGCAAAGCCTAGAGAATTTCATTGCTTCTAGTGAGTGGTTACGCTACAAAAATTTATCTTATAATATACGATTTTTATAATATATTGTTTCTGCAGCGTCATCAGATTGGAGGTTTTTATTCTGATACCGGACGTGTTGACGGTGGTACCTGCCTGGTCAACGGTCAAGATTAAAAGAAGAATGATTACAATATCACGCTGAATTACGTTAATTGCCTAAGATAAAATATAGGTCTAATTCATTACCACCATCAGTGCTAATTACGGATATGTACATATATATTTCTGAAAGCTAATCGATGACAATAACAGAGCACGCGCAATCGCGCTCCGTCACCTGCGCACAAGCTCGTGTCCTTCTTATTGATGATGCGTCATAAATTGCTATCCCATTACGTTCACTTCCGTTCGCGCAGATGTAACGCTGCAGCTAGCATCCCGATGCAATTTTCAGATAATACGTGCGGTCTTCACAATAGTGTCGCTATCACACCTTGCTATCGGCTCGTATACACCGCCATGAGAGTATACACGTTTCTTTTGTGATGAACGGGCTGGTTATTAGCAGCTGTTTGGTAATGATGTAGCGGCAACCGCTGTCATCATATATTTCATACATTTGTTACGTTTACGACGGCAATCATCGACGTTAGTCGACACTGAATACAGCAACTATTTGATGGACAGAGACAGTCGTAAGATTGGAGCGTCGTTGGAGTTCGTGTACTCACCCACACAGATAAGCGCCACCGGTAATCCGTCAGCGATTCACATACCTTCCCCGGTAGCGATGGACGACGTCACAGAGCCAACGTTTGCCGTAATCAGTCAGCGGGTAGAGAAGAAGGGTGGCATTTGTGGCCAGAACGCATTTACAAGACGGGACAGGAAAGCGCAATTAGCCTTGATCTTGGCCATGATCACCATACCGATTCTCGCTGTCGTCATCCAGAACATCCTCGTACTAGCGCAGAGCATTAAAGTCAAGCACGAGGCCGTGGAGGTACACGTCATGGTTAATACTAGTGTTCAGGTAAGCAAGATGACCAGCATTGCTATTAGTTTCGATGTGATCAATCTCAATATTTTAGCGTATGTATCATAACTAAACTATAAACTCGAAGGAGTCGCCAGCTTTAATTAGGCCTAGTCTCTAAGTACATAATTTGAAAGGTAACTTTGCAATCAAGAAAGTTTCGTTGGAAATAATTTGTTAATAAATCACGAACAAACTACATAAGCAATCTATGATAAAACTGGATATATTACACAATTAATTCGAACAAATTATATATATTTGACTAGACTACAGTAGGACTTCTCACAACTTCTCTGCAATAGAACACAGTTGAAAAGAACAGAAATAGTCCGAAGTTAGGCGATTTTAGGCGATTTTATCTAAATACAAAAATAAGTTCTACCTGGTTAACGGCGACGAGCAAGCCTAATCTGCACAGAAGAGAACCTAATAAAACAGGTGTAATAAATCCAGTAATGCAAAGTTTTTCAAATTCTATATTCAACAAAAACTAATATCATATAATTATATTAATTGTTATTAGTATAATTACAAGGTACTATAAACACGTTATATACGGGCGCCATAAACAAATAATTTTAGGTCGCCTACCGTGACGTTTTGCGGATCACGTGATTTTTGCCGATACACTGCAGCTGTTATTATTATTATTATTATTATTATATTACTGCAGCTGTTGAACTTGTCTAGGGTTATGATTACCATGTGAACAAACATTACCAAGTTTATTGTAGATATTTAGTTGACAAAGGTTAGATGATTTTGTTGCTGTTACTGTTTAATTGATTAGTTTCTATTTATTTATTTTTTTACTTTAAACCTATGCGATGTGTTACTTATGCAGGTTGCACAAGTCTCTCTATCTCTTTATTTTCCATATCTCCGTCCTTTTCCCATTTTACTCTTTTGCTGTATTGTTGGTGGGCGTACCCGAGGCGCCACCCACCAAAAAAACCTGCCCCCCCCCCGTCGCTGGCGTATTTAGTCTCTATAGGTAGAAGTTACACGGGGTTAGATATACGAAACATACAATTAAGAGTGTCACAACAAACTGGTTAGAGTCCGAGCAAACTGCTGACGGTTAAAACATACTGCATAGGTATACGGTCCAAGCATGGAGGAGGCTGTCGGAACATAATGACTATACTATATCTGAGCATGTTGGTCGTTGATCGCACAAACTGGTTAGTGCCCAAATATGCTAATTAGTTAAAAAAAATGCTGGTTAGTGTTTGTTACGTTGGGAACCGGAAACTTACTATAAGAACAAATACTCACAACAAATATTGTCACAGGAAAATGTTGCTGAAAGGAATATAGGTCGCGTGAAAAATGGGTCAACAACAATGAGTCTCGGTTAGCTACAACAAATAGGAATGCGCAGCCATGATCCCCATAACTTGTATTCATTCACCCTTCCATCTTCCGCTGTCCGATAAGCAAATGAGTCGCGGAGGTATGTTCCATACATTCTATATTGCTGTGAAGAGATGAGGTTGAATGCAAAATCGCAAATGCTGCAGAACGAAGAGGCCTGATATACTAGATAGCCAAGGCCGAGATAAGTTGCACACCAGTTTGCTTAATTGTACTCAACCGCAACGGGTTAAATGTAACCAGCAGCTTGATCACGTGCCGCTGGAACTATAGCATTGAGGTAACATTGGCGGTCCAGAAATGATCGAGCGTGCATGCGCTGCAGAGTCTGCAATGCTTCTTTTCCCGGAGACATGATATTTATGGGTGTTGGAGGAATTGCTGCTTCACGTGGTGTGCTTAAAAGGTGCGATCATAACGTGTCAGCAGTAATATCTGATACGACATGTTACCAGACAAGTGGACATCTTTGAGGTGCCGGCGTGAGATGATGTTGAGTAACTTCCTAGTGATATAATGTGTGCGGATGTGACCTTGCAGTTTTACAAATTTTCGAAAATTCACTGCTCATGATAATTTAATTGCATATGTACAGAAGCCCCCTAGTGCCGTCGCGGTCACGTTTTTCGCAGCCGGCGCGGTCACGTTTTTCGCAGCCGGCGCGGTCACCTTTTTCGTCGACGTCGTCGTCATTACTCGCCCTGACAAGGCTAAAACACAGCACCGCGAGCGAGCGAAAACACGGCGGCGGCGGCGAGCGAGCGGAATCGGCGCGGTCGCCGGCTGCGAAAAACGTGACCGCGCCGGCTGCGAAAAAGGCGCGGTCACCTTTTTCGCAGCCGGCGCGGTCGCCTTTTTCGCAGCCGTGACGGCGCCGATTCTGCTCGCTCGCCGCCGCCGCCGTGTTTTCGCTCGCTCGCGGTGCGAAAAGGTGACCGCGCCGGCTACGAAAAAGGCGACCGCGCCGTTTTTCGGAGCCGGCGACTTAACGTTCTTGCATTTGTCGCCATCACGTACGTTTTTCGTCGTCGTCGTCGTTTTTGTCGCCGTTGTCGACGTCATCGTCGTTGTAGACTTTACCAACGCATTCACCCACTCCTGCGTATGTCTCCCGGGTGAGTACCCACCCCACCCCCGCTCCCGGCATAATCTGGCTTGCAAAGTTGTTGCAATAACAACAACGTGCTCAGATAGCACAGCGACGAGGCAACGAAGAGGAAGCACAATTAACCGCAGTGATCACGACTTGCAGACATGTCATTACATGGTTATACTCCCGCTGTATACGCTGAACGTTCGAGACTAACACGTACGTATTCTGACATAATCTAGTAGTAAAATTATAAAAAGTTTTCCACTGCATAAATCGCCAATCACCGCAGCTGTTGAATCTGTGTCAATTTGCATCAACTAGCCTCCTCTCCTTCTTCGTTTACAGCTCCCTCTATAAATATAAGTTATTAGAGTATGACATAATATTCCTATTTATCATGCTTATGAACGCCATCGAGAAGACCGACAGGAAACCCGCCCTAAAAATTTGAACTATATAGGACAATCTATATCTGATCATAATTTTTCTGTATCATTGTAGGCCAATCAAACGCGTTGTGAAATTCGCTCTCTGAAAACTCCTTTCTCTTCGCTAAAAATGCTTACCGGTCTTTCTTTATCTTCATTATAAGGCCTGATACATAACAAAATTCCCCATCCTATGCACATATACACCCGCTGGTGCAGTTGTCCTCACATACTATACATGCTTGCATTGGATGCCGCGAGAAGAAGTTACGCGAAAAATTGCTGATACTCCATTAGACTGTTCGCAACTTTAATGTCATTACATGGTCTATATAACATAGTACTATATATAGCATCATATATATACTATATATAGTATAATATGTCACCGTCTACTATTAGTTTGTGGTTAATCTCATTTCTCAGGGAACCGTAGGATTATCATCATCATTTACACTCCATTAACTCATCTAATCATTATCAAAGTGGGAAACACTCAATGAGGTCTAGCCAATATCACATTGCTTTAGAGCATGCGCTATAATTGAGCTGGGTGCTATATTCATTCGCATGTGTGCATATCATCGGAGCCGTTATACCGTGCTCACGCCTGTCAATGCTCAGTCTCTCGTATCGACAAACCGGTTCGCAAACACTTGCATGTAAATCTCTCACATCGATAGCGGTAAAGACTCACACACACAACCCATACAAATATTCATGAACTATCTGAAAATTAGAGCTAAAACATATAACATTTCGATATTCTTTCTATTCGGACACGCAGCGCGACAACGGAGCGAAAGGAGACCCACGTCCGCATTTTAGCAACGAGTTGATGATAGATTCGCCAAGTCTCGCCTGGTGTCAGTCTGATCGATCGGTGTACAGCACGGCACGAGCTTGCTATTCGCTGGAATAGTGTTCCATATAGGCTACTAACGCTTTGTACATAAAAATTTAAGGTGCATGTTATCTGAAACAACCTCCGCACATCGCTCTACAATATACAGCGCACACTGCGCAACATTTGTTTTTAGTATATGTTGTTAAAACACCCCAAGTCCTTCGCTAAATTACAGAAAGCCCTGCAGAGGTGCGCTAAATAAACGAAATAACTGTTACCGCCGTGTTTTCGTCCGCTCGCCGTGATTAAAATGGACCGCGCTCTGCTCGCGCTGCGCCGCGAAATATCTGACGAACGTGCGAAATCTGAGATAGCCCCTGCCCCGCCCCGACCCGACCAATACAGCCTCTCCGCTCCTTTGCTGTTACTATAGGTTGTTGTACACGTGAAAGGCTTTGTGTAAAATACCAATATCTGTACAGGGTAGCGAAGAAGCAGTGTAGAGCGAGAGGGGGAGGAGGAGGAGTTGAGAGTAGTACTATATCGACCATAGAAAAGTTAGTGACAGAAGAGGAAGGAGACGAACCGGGAGAGGAGAATGGAGAAGGCAGACCGGGAGACGGTGCAGAACGAGCGAAGAGAGCAAGGAGCGGAGAACGGAGCTGGTGATGAGCGCAGGGGAGAGCGAGAACTGGTGGAGAAGGAGAGGGGGACCGAAGCTGGCTGGAAGCAATGAGAAGGGGGAGAACGGGAGAGAAGGTGTAGAAAAGGAGAGGAGAAAGCTGGGGAGAAGAGGAGGGGAGAGCGCCGGGGGGGGGGGGCGTGCGGGGGGGGGGGGCGGGGCGGGGGCGGGGGGGCCCGCGGGTCAGGGGGGGGGGGGGGGGGGGGCGCGGGGGGGGGGGGGGGGGCGCCGGGCGGCGGTAGCTAGTGGCTTAAGGAGAAGGAATAACGGAGAAGCTGCTCGCAGCACATTTCATTAATGTACAGAGGGGCTGCGGTTTGCAGCATTCTCCCTTCCTCCCCTTCCTTCTTCCACCCAGTTCTCCCCTCCTCTTCTCCGCCACCTTTTCCCTTCTCCCCTTCTCCCCCATTAGCTTCCCCTTCTACCCTTTTCCTTCTCCATCACGCTTCTCCCCCTCCTCCTTCTCCACCACTTCTCCTTTCTCCCCCTCCTTCTCCCCTTCCTCCCTTCCTCCACCAGCTTCTCCCTTCTCCCCTCCTTCTCCCTGCCCCTTCTTCCACAGCTTCT